GGGACTTTGTTTTAATAATTTTATTTATTATTTTTAATTAATGTCATAATTTTATTTTTAAGACAGGAGTTAGTTTTTTTATTTATTTTAATATTGAAAAAATTATTGTTAAATTTGGAAATTTTTATTTAAAGTTTAATATTTTTGGTTTAATGAATGAAATTTTAGTAAATGTAAATTGAAATTTTTTTTTAATTGATTCAAAAATATCGATAATTTATGTTGAAAATTTAATAATCAATTTAAAAAAATCATACATCTTTTTATAATAGTATTCTTAATTTTACAGAAGATTATAAAAATTTTTACTAAAAAAAAAAAAATCATAGAATCAATTAAAAATTCTAAAAATTGATCCTATTTTTTTTAGACTTATTTTTCTTACACTCAAAATAAAAGAGACAATTGAGTTAAATTATTTAATATTAGAACTAGCAACCTTGCAGTCACTATGTGACTGCCGTGACTGTAAACTATGAATAAATAAAATTTTGCTTTATTAAATAATGAATTTTGTTAAATTGCACTGTAATTTTTTAACAATTGACGTTTTTAAAGATATAGGCTCATCCCGATGTTACACTCATTAAGAGCTTTCATTAGAGCACCCACATGCATTTTTATATATTTTTCATATATTCATATATATAATATGTAAATATATGAAAAATTGATGTGGGTACTTAAATGAAAGATCTCGATGAATGTGACATCGAGATGAGCTTATATCTTTAAAAATGTCAATAGTTGACAAGATAGCAAAGTCAGTTCTTAACCATTGACATTTTTCAAGATATAAGCTCATACCGATGTTACACTCATCAAGAGCTTTCGTTTGAGTACCCACATGTATTTTCACATATTTTTCATACATTCATATATATATATAAATATATAAATATATGAAAAATTGATGTGAGTACTCAAACGAAAGGTCTCGATGAATGTAATGTCAGGATGAGCTTATATCTTTAAAAATGTCAATAGTTGACAAGATACAAGGTCATTTCTTAATTATGTATCTAAAAACAGAGTATTTTAGAATGCAGCCTAAATACTTATCATCATAAAGAAACCATGAAAAGGTACACAAAATTTTGCTTATTCTCTTATTAATATAGATTACACCAGAATATTATTGAATTTCTTTAAATTTTCCAACAATTACCAAAAATAAAAAAACTAATTTTTATTTTTTATCAAAAAAATTAAAAAACAAACCAATAACAATAACTCTTTCAAAAAATTTTTCCCTTACTAAAAAACCCCTGACCCAAAATTGATCCAAATAAAAATTCATGACCCTTAAATTTTTCCCACAATAACTCCTTTAACCCATAAAAACGAAAAACCTGATAGCTCTCCCTAAATATAAATAATTTCAAAACATCCTCCCACCGACCAACTGTTAAAAAATCTATAATTAATTACTTCAAAAATTTTCAGGGAGTAATCGGCAACCCTTCCCAGTCCCTCAATACCGCTGGAGCAATTAAAACCATTGTTATTATTTTATATTTCTTCGTACGCCGGGTACACTCTCTCATTTATCAGCGAGTATTTAAACAACAGTGTTTGCCGTCCGGCTTGTTTGAACTGGATCCGCGAGTAGGTTTGTCGCTATTGGTTTGTCCCTATTGTCCATACATCGAAATCACACACTCCGAAATCTCCATACAACCGTGTAGATGGTGCGTAGGACAAAGAGCTATTGTTCTGCTTTACCGTGGGGTGCAACGCGATATCCGAACGCGGATTTCCAATGAGCGGCTGTACAGTATTACTATACTGTATACCACCACCCACAAAAAGTAATCGACTTTCGCGTCCAGATATGTGAGTTACTTTAGTGACACATTACATGTAGAGCAACATTGAAGTTGTGTTGGCCATTGAAATAATTTTTCGGCACCTGATTGAAAGTCGATGATCGTCCATGCAGGTGAGGGCGATACCTATACCTATACCTTCCCAGTAGATCCAGTAGGTGACAAAACGCGTCCACTAGACTGAACAAAATGCTGGTGAGTATTGAATGTCAGCTGGACCTGACACCAACAGCAGCCTCTTGGCGCCATCGACATTTTCCCTCTTCCTCCTCCTTCTATTCTTGCCATTCGAATTCCTCTTGAGCGTCTACTAGAACTCAAAGTTTACGTCTGCGTCTCTGTCTGTGTCTACGTCTGATTCTGCACTCAATCTCAACAGGAGAGCTCAATAGCATGCCTCCCCATTAGACACGTTAACTAAATTCTCCACCCGGGTCAATCCACTTACGCCAATAACCCAACTCTTGGCTTTAGCTTTAGCTTCAGCTCACTTATATTTAGAAAAGGGTACAACACACTCTGCCCAGGATATGTCATTCATTTCACAAATATAATACTGAATTTTTTTTCTACCTCCGATTATTAAGCGACTTGTCTTTCACCTTGCGCTCTTAAATGTCCACTTGACTCAAACGTGCTCCGGTGGCTCGGTATTACTCTATAAAACTAAAAATCTCCGACAAAGATATAAAGAAGCTTTGAGGAATAAATGAGGGCGAGAAAAAGGCCTAAACATCCTTATAATTGCGATGGGATATAATATGAGCTGGGGTTTTATAACCACACTGATAGAAGGATTTATTTATATTTTATAAGCTTTATTAACTGTTAATAAATCATTTTTTAACATCATAGGATTTAGTAAATATTTATTAATGGTTAATGAATTTTTGTTGACTGCTAACAAATATTTATTTAAAATAAAAAGCACAGATAGCAATTTTCTTTTGACAATTTTTAAAACCCTACAGCTGGAATGAATGATAATAATTCAATTCACTAAATAAATTAATGTTAAAAAATATAAAAGATAATTATGACCTGTGATAGAATTTGGTATTTTACAATAAACGTTTTACTAGCAACCTTGTAGTCACTATGTGACCTGTTACATAGTCACTATGTAACTATGTCAACTATAAATAAATAAAATTTCTCTTTATTAAATATTGACTCTTGTTCAATTGCACTGTAATTTTTTAACTATTGACGTTTTTACAGATATAAACTCATCCTAATGTTACACTCATCAAGAGCTTTCATTTGAGTACCCACATGCATTTTTGATATATTTTTCATATATACATATATATATATATAAATATATAAAATATATGAAAAATTGATGTGGGTACTTAAATGAAAGGTCTTGATGAGTGTAACATCGGGATGAGCTTATATCTTTAAAAATGTTAATCGTTCACAAGATACAAGGTCATTTCTTAATTATAAATCTAGAGATAGAGCATTTTCAAATGCAGCCTAAATACTTATCATTAAAAATTGACTATTGGTGAGAATGATATGAAACTTTGAAAAGGCACAACTTCATGTCAAGACTCTTCCAACGATACCAAATTTAACTATAAAAACCCATTTTATTATATAAATATACTGGCCACAAAATTTTGCTTATTCTCTCAATAATATAGATTCTAATGTATTATAAATTATAATTAATGCAAATAATTTACAAAGATGATTTTTATATATAAGCAATCTTAATATCAGGACATTGCAAGCGCAACAAATTAACTCATCAAAATATTTATTAACCGTTAATAAATATTTGTTATCTATTAATAAATATACTTTCCTCCCAAATAAATATTCATTGAATGTTAAAATAAAATAATTGTCTTAAAAAAAAATTAAACATTATTAATAGTTAATAAATCCTTCTATCAGTGTAACTACGAACCACGTGGAGCAAAAGACCGCGATCCAGAAATTATCCGTCTCCGTCTTTATTCCTCCAAGTAGAGTAAAGTCGGGATAGGATCCACACGTGTTACATATTTATCATGCGCTTCACGGGTATGGCATTCCTTTGAAGAAACTCACATGAAATTTGTTTTAATTTATCACATTTGCCTCAGCCCGAGACATTTTCAACTGTCACGGAAAAATTAGCAAGATAATAAATTATTTTGACGTGACAAAAACATTGAGAAATTGACGGGCCGAAAAAAGCCGACGTTTCCCCGCGGATCGGCTTTTTTTTTTCCCATTCAGGATCCGGGGATAGTCAAGTTTGTTTTTGCTTTTTAATACCTCGATTCCTCTGTATCTCATTATATTACCGCGGGAGCGTTTAACCAAATAGTTTACCTTGGAATATAACGTTGCGGATCATGGATGTCTTGGGGACATTACCATGAGACGTCCAGTCGTCCAGTAGGAATAAATTAGAATGCGCATGTATAATGTATGGATAGAGATGGATATATATTCAACTATATGTAATAGATATGTAGTACATAGTAGATTACATAGTAAATATATACATATATGTAGGGATATTTGGAGAGTTTCCAAGATCCCAATCGAAGTTTGAATTATCACAACTGGTCGGTACGTGACCAGAATTACGGGAAGATATCTCTCGGGTCTAAAGTATGTATTATATGAAGATGTTTTTAAACTTGTCTGATGACACGGGCTCGTTCGTTCAACTACTTATGGTAATCCCCGATACCACTTACTATTCACCCACTCATCTCTACTCGAGTCTTGCTCTATATACAGCAATACAGCTTCCCGATTCCCAACTCAATACGAGCTACTCCGCATTCACATCCACTCGGTATCTTCTCGACGGTCAGTAATGTAGTGAGCTCTTTACTTGTATTGTCTCTCACCGCATAGCAGAGAGTACATATTATGGATTGAACTACTGGTATAGTGGGCTTAAAAGCGGAAGAGTTGTAAATTTATTACCACAACAACTGAAGATAAAGAGAAATAATTTTTGAAACTCTTGATTAAACAATTGTAATATTTATATTTTTATTTAATAATTATTTTAGTAAAAATATTGTAAGCTATAGAGTTTATTTGACTTATAATTATTGTAAAAATATATTGATTGGATAATAAATTGATTTAGTGGAATTAATTTAGGCTTAATTAATCAATTAGAGATAATGATTGCTCAAGATTGGATAATCGTCATATGAGATGGAGATTTTCATTACGGGCGGAGTTTGATTGATGTAGCGAATCACGTGACACTTCGAACAATGATGGATCTGTGTAAATAGGCTCGCTGGGATCGAAATCGCTCCGTCTGTTAACGGTTAATCCTACCGCGCCCTCCATCGCCGTCGACGTCAGCTGGTGATTAAAAATTTGACTTAACGACCTGAAAGAAGATGAAGATGAGGATGAGGAACAAGATTAAGTTTTTTTTTTTTTTTTTCTTCGTTTTAGAGCTCTATTCTCATTTGTTTTTATTTTAAGTAATTAATATAAATAGATTGTCGAGTTAAACGGTTACTTACGTTGATTGGAACGGCTTGGGGAGCCCCGATCGCATGAATGAAAAGTTTGATCGGGAACTCGCTGAGTCTTCTCGGATTACTTTGTCTACGATTTTGTTCTTACGGATTATTGGGTAACCATATTTCCTAATTCGTTTAAAAAATTTTTATTATCATTTTTTACAAATAATGGAAATCTTTTTGATTAAAAAATTAGATTTTTTTTATTTAAAATATTGTTAAGTTAAATTGTTTTTTTTTTTAATTTAATTAAAGATTATTTTTTAATAAATTTTTAATAATAAAAAGTTAAATTTTAAAATATCGAATTAATTTAAAAAATAATAAATAATTAAAAAATTTCTAAATTTTTAATAAATAATAAAAATGTTTTTGATTAAAAAATTAGATTCAATATTATTGATTTTAATTTAAAGTATTATTAAGTAAAATTTTTGTCTAAATTGAATTAAAGATTTTTTTTTAATAAATTTTTAATAAAAACTTAAATTTAAAAATATCAAATTTAAAAAAAATAAATAATTGCAAAATTTCAAAATTATTAATAAATAATAAAAATATTTTTAATTAAAAAATTAGATTCATTTTTGTTTAAATTATTATTAAATAAAATTTTTTTCTTAATTAAATTAAAGATTATTTTTTTAATAATAAAAATTTTAATTTAAAAATATTAAAAAAAATAAATTAAAAATTTCAAAGATAAAATAAAAAAAAAAATTTATTTAAATCTAAAACTACTCTAAAAAAATCAAGGATTTATAAAACTCAATAAAATATGTAAAGAAATGTCAACCGAAAGATTTTTACCCTCAATAAACTTACAAGGCTTATCTGTAAAACTATAGACATAAATTCTACTTTATACTATTTCAAAAAATTACAAAAATTTATTCTTTTGAGTAAATTTGTTCTTAATAAAATTTAATTCACTTTCTTAGAAGACGATAATTGAATTAATTAAATAAAATGATCTTTTATTATTACGATTAAACTAAAGTATGATTAATAAAAGTAATTACCTGTAAATTAACAAAGAAAGAACTACAACAGAAGATAATAATACAGCTAGACCAACAATGGCTGTTACTAATCCATAGTATTCATTAGGAGTTATACAAATAGTTTCTACCGGCGCTATTTGTTTTTGTACAACATTACTGCTGTAGTAATTATCATCCATGTCGTACCGGGAGTCCAGGACCTAAAATAAAATAAAATAAAATAAAACTAACGGTATGGACATAATTGGGGTGAGGTAAAAATTAGTGATCAATAACGCCCTTAGTGGATGTAAAAATAGGCATGGTGAATGCGGTGGTTTTAGATCGGGGATATTTTGACGGGGGGTTTGTCATGGTTATTGTCACGGTGATTTTCATGGACCCCTTGTAATTCGAGATGAGTGTGGAAGAATTTTTAGTTTATTACCAGGAAGAAAATACTTATAGAATATCTATGTGGATGTATTATACGAGATGGGGCTTAGCTTTTCCGAGAACTAAACTCAACTATCGACTTATGAGATAGACTAGATACAGAACTGCAGATGTAAATTGTCGTAGGTATAAAAGAAAGTCGATATAATCTCGAAAATTGAGTTTCAGCTGAAATTCTTTAGGGATGAAGACTTCTCGGGGAAGTACCAGTGATTTGGGGCGATTCTTTGTCGGAGTGAAATATTCGTTGAACGAAAATAAAAGTTTTATTAAGTTACGGTATACTGAAAACTATTTAATGAATTTCCTTGTTGAAAATTGTAAGGCGTGAAGCTTTATATCTATAAAGCTAGCTACCTGAAGATGATTTTTGGACAAAGAAACTTGTGCAATGACCTACTTCAGAAGCTATTACTAATTTTCTTTTGTCGAGAAAGTGATAATTGAAGCTAAATACAGTCAGGTGATAAATGGATCTAATCTTGGAGTATTATCTCGTGAATTGAATTCATTTCTTCGCTCAGAGATTAAGGATATAGGATAATTTAGATTAAGAGGATGGAATTTATCATTTGAAATTGCAATAGTTTGGTAAATCCGCTAGGCGAGTCAATAAAAATTAAGTGCAAGATATTGAATATTAAAATTTAACACGATAATTGGTTAAATATTAAGTTTAAATATCCAAAAAACAAGAACCTTTTGAATTTTATTATCAAGCATGAATAAGAACTTAGAATTAAGAATTAATATTAATAATTAATATTAAGAATTAATATTAAGAGTTAATATTAAGAATTAATATTAAAAATTAATGATAGAATTAAGAATTAATATTGAGTATCCTCAAATTTTGTTGAATTTTTTAAAATGTAAACATTCACTCAAAATTATCCTAACATATTTTTGATGACTTGTATTACATTGTTAAATTTTGTGTTACAGATGTCATAAGGGTGAGTTGTTGAAAAGCCATAAGGGCGAATATAAAGAAATTTTTAAATTTCATTTTTACGCTTTTAGATTGTAATTTAATGACTTTCACTTGAAAGAAATTTTTTTTAATCGCCCTTATGGTTTTGGTTTCCTGAGAAGATATCGAGATAAGGGTGGATAGAATTTAAAATTAGGTTCTTTTTACACATTTGATAAATTCTTTGATTCTCAATTAGATATTCAATTTTTTTTTTTATAGTGTACTATATAATTTGGATCTATATACCTTGTAATTTATAAATTACAAATTAAAAATTATAAAAGATGCGACAAAATAATTTTGATTTAATAATTCAATTTTTCAATAATTACTTTAGTTTTTAATTAATAAAATAAATATTAAAATTTTTTTAGTTCTCTTATTTTTATTAAAAATTAATTGTAACTTTAATTATTTGATTAAATAATTGTTTTCAAAATAAATAATCAAATTTTTTTGATTATAAATCAATAATTTGAATTTCTAAAAAATTGCGCATTAATTTTGAACTTATTTAATCATTATTATTAAATTTAATATTACTACATTAATAAAAAAAAAAAAAGGAGTTAAAAAATGAATAAATTTAAAATTTCAATAGAATATTATAAAATAGTGATAAGTGTCTCCACAAATTCTATTAAAGAATGAAATTTCCAAGTTTTACAATAGACGAATAAAACGGAGCGGTAACAAATGACCCAAATGACCAGAAAAAAGATAAAAATCTCCAAGGATCCCCGATAAAAGAAGTAAAAAGACAGTAGATGTGTGCTTAGGCAGTTAGACGGCGAGCTCGGTTCGCTAGTAAAATATTGATTAAATAAGTAATATTTTTGTAGAGCAAGAGCAAGAGTAATCTCACAAAAAGTATTAAAGTATTAAATAAAAGAAATAAAGTGGAATAGTCGTAACTTGAAGCACTCACTTCAATCATTTCTCTCACATGTTCCTCTTCAGCCTCCTCGGGGTCGTCTTGTTCGTCGTCTTCTATTAACTCGGTGTCATTCTTCGCCGTGAAAAGTTTCTCGTGCTCATCCAATAATACATCATCGGTGGTACCGTTCAAAGATCGACGTCTGCGTTTGCCAAAGGAAGGCTCACTCCTGCCTGCGCTTCCGGAACAGTAAGCTGGCTGACATCCGTCGCGACAGGATCTCACAGTTGCCTCAAAGACCAGGAAATTTGATTCCGGGATTTTAAAGGCATTGAAACGCGCCTCGAGACTGTCACCCTCGCGCAGTCGATCCAGACCCGGGAAGACGTAGTTGTCAACTGGACAGCTAATTTGTTCGATCAATTAGTGGTCAATCACTCGTAATACATTCTTATTTATTATTTATTATATGTCAACAAGCTAAGAGACAATTTTTTTTAATTCTAATTTTTATACAAATTGATATTTTTTAATTAATATAAATTAGATAGAAATTTAAGATTTATTTTAAACATTAAGTTATTTTTTTTTTAATTAATCAATTTCTAAATTTTGACATTAATTACATTTTTTAATATAATTTTATTAAATTTTAATTATCAAAAATTTTTAACCGAGATTAATTTATTTTTTATTAATATTTAAATGTTAAAATAAAAAACTAACATTAAACAAATTTAAAAGAAAATTATTTAAAGACAAAACTATTAAGTTAAAAATTTACTTTTTTTGGTAATAAATTTATATAAAAAATTAATGTAAAATATTTACCAACAAATTAAAATTTTGATATATTTTTCAAAATTAATTAAATTTTTTTAAAAGTTGTTTATTACTCAAAATAATTAAAATAATTTTTGGATTATAATTGAGTTTAAGTAATATATCTTTTAATATATAAAAAATTTATGACTTTTTATTTAAAAATAATAAAGAAGTACTTCAAGAATATTTATAAAAAAAATTGGACTTGTAATTTTGAGAAATTAGCTTGAAACATTTCGATTTTTGATTTTAATTGACTTTTTTTTTTCTAAATAACACTATAGAAGTTAAATATTAATTACATTTTTGTCTACAATATTATTAAATTTTGATTATGAAATTTATTTTTCCAAAATGAAATTATTTATCTATTCTTCTATTCTAATATTATAAAGAGGAAAGATTTGATTGTTTGTTTGTTTGCTTGTTTGCATTGAATAAACTCCGAAACTACTGAACCGATTTGAAAAATTCTTTCACTGTTGAAAAGCTACACTATCCCCGGGTGACATAGGCTATATTATATTTTCAAAAAAATAAGGGATCCTTACTACAATTTTTATTAAATAGCTGTGCGAAAGGGCGGGCTGATAGTTATTAATATTTTAATGTCAAAATATTAAACTTTCATAAAATTTAACGAAATTGAAATAAAATATTTAAAAGATATTCTTTAAAATTTAATTAAAAAATAAATTTTATTTGTTTTTTTTTTCTAATTTCTCAAATTTTTTTAATTTCTTAAATTTATCTTCTCTTTGCGGATGCTATGTATTGTATAAAATAATTCTAAACATTCTATACATAAAAATGTAACATATTGTTGCTAATTGCCGAGGGCGCTTCTTTAAAAATCAATAAATATTTATTCAGTAAAAAATTGATAGTCTGAAAAAAATATTTGAAAAAAATTAAACTTATAATTCTTTAAAATTTATTCTAAAAATTTATTAGACTTAACAATATAAAATTAATATCAAAGTCCAAATAAAAAATAATATTCCTCTTTAATAAACTTGTCTCTCAGCATTAATAAAAATAATTATAAAATAAAAAGAGCGTACCCATATCTGTCAATCAGTTGAACGCTGCGACCCGAGTAGGGGTCCCGGGCAATGACATTCGTCGCAAATATGTCTGTCACATAGTTGTAGCTGAAAAAAGGAACGAAAAAAAAAAATATAAATATACGACGTGATGGTTATCGAGTTTAACGTACACTCGAGTACTCGCACCGTAGCGTGATTTATTGAGCGTGGAATCAAATATTTATTGTGCGAAATATTTATTGTACAAGTTTACGCATAGAGGCACAATAGTTCGCCTCTGAAAAAGTAAAACTCACCCGTCCTGGGCCTCTAGCCGGAATGTAAGAGGATCACCGACGGCAATGGTTGTCGTCGGGCGACCCTGGTAGAGAATCATCAGCCTGACGCGGGAGCTCAGGGTGTTTTCAGCTGGCAAGTACTCAATAGGTATCGGCGAACCTGATCTGCTAATAATACAATTGTAAAAATAAGGAATCCGAATGGAATAAAATGAAATATAATATTTATTGTTGTAAAGCCATTGATATTTGAAAACAGTTGTAATAGATGACATTGGAATGAGCGGTATCAAATGGGAGATTAACTCACCCAGCTCCGATGTATCCCGAGGTGACAACCGCCTCTCCTGGACCCCGAAATAGACATGTTAGATTAAACCGCTTGTCTCTCCCCGTCTGTACGTAGTCGGAAAACTGCACCACTACTATGTTTGTCATCGTATCTCCGTACTACAAAAAAATTCATAAATAAAAAGTCATATTCAAGAAGAATTAGTGTTTGAAGTTTTAAATCCTCCAGCTCAAGTGATAAATCATTCTGTATTTATCATTATTATTCATATTCAGATGTAAGCCTTCATTTTTCCCACGCTATCATAGCAAGAAGTTAATTTAAAGAGCTGATAAAAAATTTCATTTTTACAATTAATGAGGGAACGAATCGGATTTGAGTTATTACAAAAAGTCACGGGTAATAAAAAGTAACAGGTCAATTGTGTTTTTCATTCTGTGGCTTTTTTTTAAGCGATGTACATTGTATGTGTATACTATATCCTTCTAAGAGCTATTCAAAATCCGTAAGATGGTGGCTTAATACGATTTTTCATGGTGGTATGAGTTACTATAACTTATTTTGGGGGATAGTGTGTTGATTGAGGATAAGTCCTAAAAAGGTAATGGAATTATCTTCTTCGTTGAAAAATTTTATTAGTTTTTTGGTAATGATTACTATTTTAGAATTGACATTTTGGATGATACTAAAGTTAGCCGACATTTTTAATTTTTTTTTTAAATTAAATTAGAAAAAAAAAATATTTTTAAAAAATTACACTTACAGTTTTTAAAGTTTTTTACTAAGTGAATTTTTTTTTATTTTTCTGTAATCATTTTTTCAATAAAAAAAAATTCTAAAAATTTTTAAATGTCGGCTAACTTAATTTTCATACTTTTTGGTTGTGTTAAAAAGAAAAATATTTATTGGAGGAATTAATGTGGTTTTAATTTAATGTTTTTTTTTTATTGGAACAAATTTTTTTGAGTAAATATTGTAGAAATGCAAAAATTTAGAATTTTTTGATTAAATTTGAGTATTTTAATTTAAAATTTGGTTTGAGATAAATGATAATGTTTATGTTAAAAAGTGGAAGAACTTTTGAAAGTTGATGAGAAAAAATAATTGAAATTTTAAGAAGATAATTCAAAGAAAATATCAAAAATTTTATCAAAAAAATTAAAATAAAACTTATTGCATAATTGAAAAATGATATTTTGTACTTTATAAGAATTATAAAAAAATTAATTTAATACAGTTGAAAAAAAAATATTATTTGAATAATTAGACCTTAAATAGACCAATAAGTAAATTTTTAAAGTTATTTTAGTGTAAAAATTCAAATTTTTACTCCAAAAATTGATAAAAAATTGTACTTTTAAATTAAATTATTTACAATAAATAAACATATACTTAAAGATTATTGAAATTCAGCGATAGTGTTCTACCTAATCTCAAATCTCAAGATTAAAACTGTCAGAAAATCAATTATCTAATCTCTATTTACATAAGTACATATGCAGCGATTGACCTTTCCTTATTCTTTATAAAAAAAATATTTTATCACCGGAACATATTATATATCTAACAAAAAATTAGCAATAATGAGGCGTGTAATGAAACAATTAAAAAAATAAAGCATTACCCGTTGTGTTCCGCATTCAGGATAACCCTGAGGCCCACTTATACGTAATACATTAACAGTGCCGCCATTACCGCGGAAAAAGCAACGATCGTAATAACCGTAGGTATAAATGCGTCCAATAAAACCATCGGGAGTTCTTAATGTGAATTCCATGCCGTCTTCGCTGCATACTTGGCTCACTGTAAAGTTAATAAATAAATATTTAAGATTATTTAAATATTGACGGATAAATTTATCAATACATTGATAGAAAAATCTATTAACTATTAATTAATTTATTTTAATGGAAACTATTTATTTATTTATTTATTTATTAAATAATGAATTTTGTTAAATTGCACTGTACTTTCTTAACTATTGACATTTTTAAAGATATAAGCTCATCCTGATGTTATACTCATCAAGAGCTTTCATTTGAGTACCCACATGCATTTTGATATATTTTCATACATTCATATATATAAATATATAAAATATATGAAAAATTGATGTGGGTATTCAAATGAAAGGTCTCGACGAGTGTAGTGTCGGAGTGAGCTTATATCTTTAAAAATGTCAATAGTTCACAAGATACAAGGTCATTTCTTAATTATCTATCTAGAGATAAAGCATTTTCGAATGCAGCCTAAATACTTATTCATAATAAATTGACTATCGATAAAAATTATATGAAACCTTGAAAAGGCACAAATTCAAGTCAAAACTTTTTTAATGAAATTTAATTTCATTAAAAAAACTAATTTTCTCATATGACTATCCTTGAGACAAAATTTTTTTTTTTTTTAATAATAATATAGATTAATTAAATAATTAATTAATAAAAATTATTAAGTATTAAAAAATTCAATTATTGTAAAATAAGAATAAAAATAAAGAAATATTTATAAAATTATTAATTAATAGTTAATGAATTTGATTAAATGTTAAAAATTTTTTTTAATTTCCAAAAAAAAGAATATTTATAAAATTAAATAAAAAAATTAATTAACCATCTAAACATTCGCCGTCAGCACCCTGCCTAGCGCTGTTCCTCTCATAGAAATCGTAATCAGAGGAAGTGTCGTAGTAAATCGGATTATTCATGGCCATGTCCCTGGAATCTCTGTCGCTAAGCTCGCAATTGTCTCTCTCGGCGCCGTAGGGCGCGGCGTATGCCCTAAAATTGAAGGACCTGCAGACAAAGTCTCTCGCGTCGGCACACTCTCTTTCGCACTCGGTCAATGTGTTGGCGGTTGTGTATCTGCGGACAAAGGGCTTGCGGACCCGGGTGTGGGATCCGACTTGACGAAAGTTCTCCTGCTCGTCGCACCGTGAAAGCAACGGCGGTCGCCCGATAATTGTCCCGCCGCCGGAGCCAATTGGCCGGACACTGTTGTACGGATCTGTGTCGCCCACACCGCCACCCACACCCACCCCCGCCATGAAGTTGTCGGGCGAGGGTTCCGGGTATCCTGCTCCTGCTCCTGCTCCTGCTCCTGGTGGTCCTGGCCTAACGGCTCCCGCTACTCCTCCTAGGGAGTAATATCCCGGCCTATCTGCGAACCCTTTTGTGCCTCGGATGTCATCCTCATACCCATTTGGATACGCTCCAGGATATCTGCAATCAAACTATAATTATTACTCTGTTCTCCAGCATCATAATCATCAATTTTATCGAGATTCACATTATTTTAATTAGCTGATTAATTTTAGGTAAGAATTTGAATTTTAAACTGATTAGAAGAATTTATTGACTTTTAATTAATTTTTTTTCTCTAAAATAATTTATTAAAATATTATTTCTATATTTTTTTATTATTATTTTATTTTATTTTTATTCTTAATAATATATTTTTTTATTAATAATATTCCTTAACTAAATAAAAAAAATTTTATTTGAAAAAAAAAGTACATTTAATAAGTTTGTAAATATTTATTGTTTAGATTTTTTTAATTGCTAATAAATATTTAACAAATCATCTAATTTTACTAAGTGATTTATTAAATATTAAAAAATTTTTTTATCAGCAATAAAATCAAAATTCTAGACAGAAAAAACAAGACAAAAGTTATTTTGGAGCAAGAAGAAATTTTCTTGGCTCAAGAAAATTTGACTTTATTCAAAAAATTTTCAATTTTCTTGAGTCAAGAAAATTTACACTCCATTCAAGAATTTTTTTCTTTTTTAGTGTATCAAGACTTTTGACAAGTTCTATAATTTGGTAATTTGGAAATTCTTTAGCGGTTTGGTCACGTAAAAATAAATCAAAAACAAAATTTTTAAACCAAAAAAAAAATGTTTTTAATAGTTTAATCACTTCAAATCAAGTAAAATTTACTTTTTGATTCAAAATGTTCAAATTTTTCAAAATAATCTTGGTTCAAAATTTTGTTTTTTAATCAAATTAAATTTTTCATCAGTATATGAAGTAAATATTTATTATTCCATCGAAATAACTTTATTATTTATTGATTACTAAAATTTCTAATTATTTAAATATTAATTTTTTTAACTGTAAAATTTGATATGAAATGTATTATTTTTGAATTATTTAATAATTTATTTTTTTTTTAATAACATTTTTGGTAAGAAGACATTTTCTTGGCTCAAAATACTTTGACTTCATTAAAGAAATTTTCAATCTTTCTAAATATTTTACTTTAGTTAAAAAAATTTACACTCCAATCAAGAATTTTTCTTTTTAGTGTATCAAAACTTTTTACAAGTTCTATAATTTGGTAATTATTTAGCTGTATGGTCACTTAAAAATAAATTAAATTGATTAAGAATAAAAATTTTTAAACCAAAAATATTATTTTTAAGAGTTACATCGCTTTGAAGCAAGTTAAATTTATTTTTTGAATCAACATGCTCAAATTTTTTAAAATGATCTTGGTTGAAAAATTTTTTTTAATCAAAATTAATTTTTTTATCTGTATGTAAAGTAAAGATTTGTTTTTCCATTGAAATAACTTTAATATAATTAATTTAATTATTAAAATTTCTAATTATCTAAATATTAATTTTTTTAACTGTAAAATTTGATATAAAATACAAAACATCATTTTTCAATGATGTAATAATTTATTTCTTTTTTTTTTTTTGATCATATTTTTAGTATTTTCTTCAAGTAATAATTATGAAAAAAAAATTTGATCTAAAAATTCCATATTAAATTGTAAATTGTCTAATTAATGATAATGAGCTGATCTTACCTGTCACGAAAAGGATAAGGGTCTTTGTCAGGATATCTATCATTGGGATATCGGGAGGGTATTCTATTGATACCGGGAGTCGGATACCGCGTTAAAGGATCATCCGGTATTGGATAACGTGTGCCAGAACCAGGATGATAAGGCTCGTCTTTCACTGGATATCTACTTCCTGGACCGCTTGGGTACCGGTGTCCTGAGGATGGATACACTGGAGGCGGAGGATATCGGTGATAGCCTGGAGCAGTATTGTAAATCTTAAGTTAAATATTCACTGTATATGTATTATTATAGTAGTTTTCAAGAATAATACTTTGTAGAACATGGACAGAGTTTGGTGACAGGTTTTAAAATAATATGTAATAATCCGATATTTCATATCGAAAAAATGTCACTGTAAATTCATAGCAAGCTGACTATATTAAATACTCAGTGACCATTTTCGCATGAAAATTTTTTACAATGTACTACGATGTATTAGGTAATGGATTTTTTTACTTTAGTTATTACAAGAATTATTTTAATTTTAAAAGCATTCAGCTTCATTAACTAAAAATAACTATCAATTTTTTTTATATATTTTCTTCTTTAAAATTAATTGAAAATTTTTTAAATTATTGTTTTAGTTTATAAATTATTATAAAAAATGCACTTTTATTAAATTTTGTTCAACAAAAAATTGTTTAATATTAAAAATCAGATATTTTTAAAAATTATTATTTTACACTTTAATTTATGACTTGTGTTTGATTTTCTTAAAAAAAAAAAAAATATAAATTTAATTTGAAAAAATTTTTTAAAGCCATATTATTTTTATTATTTAATTTTAAATTAATTAATTAATTATTTTTACAGAAAATTGTATTTTTTTTAAGCATCAAAAATTTTTTTAAATTCAAATATTTTCCAATTTAAATTTATAAATTTTCCTCAATTTTCTTTATCTAAAAATTCAACTTAAAATTTTTTATCTAATAATAAAAAATATTAAAAAAAACAACAAATTATAATAAAAAAAAAAATGATTAATAATAAAATAAAAAAATGATTAATTTTGTATAAAATATTAAATATAAATATTTTTTCACAAACCTGGAGTATTGATCAACGGATAATTATCACCATTGACAGGATATCGATCGTTCATTGGATACCGATCACTGTTTACAGGATATCGATCACCGCTTATCGGGTACCGATCTCCAGAAATTGGATAGCGATCTCCACCTACAGGATAGCGATCTCCACCCACAGGATAACGATCACCGCCCACCGGGTACCTGTCACCTGCTGGATACCGATCACCAGGATACCTGTCACCCACTGGGTACCGATCGCTAGGATACCGGTCACCTGACGCAGGATAGCGGTCGCTCGGAACAGGATAGCGATCTGCCGGGTACCGGTCCCCAGAACTGGGGTACCGATCATGCGGGTACCGGTCCAGAGGATAACGATCGCTGGGGTATCGATCCGGATATTTATCGGGGTAGCGATCGTCCGGGTATTGATTCGGGTACTTGCTGCTGGGGTATCTGTCTCCGGGGGGTGGATAGTAATCTGGGTAGCGGTCGCCATGAGAACCGCCCGGATACCCTTTGTCGTAGTCGTCCGGGTGACCTAGTAATTTCGAATTATAATTAGAAATTATATGAGTATTTAATTACCCAGTTTTATCGCAGAGAGATTTGTTAATTAGATTTAATTAAACGTGTGTTACCTGGTCGCCCGAGGGACGGCTTCTCGAAATTAGTGCCCTGTCCCACGGGGTCGGGTCTGTACATTGGATTATCTCGATCTCCATCTAAATATTGATCTGCAGTTTTGTGAGAAAAAGTTTTGTTAATCTAATTTTATAAATTTTATAAATAAATCATAAAAATTGTGTAATAATTTTAATAAAAATTTACTTTTATTAAAAGATGGATGAGTTAATTAATTTTTAATCAATATTTAAAGACATTAATTGTTGAAAAAAAAATTCTTGAATTAAAAAAATTATTTTGAACATTTTCATTGTCTTAAATCAAGTAAAATTTTTTACTTAATCTGATTTTAAATATTTTTTTTAGTAAAATTAAGACCGAGCTTTTTAAAATGATTTTTTTCGTTAAAGAATTTTTTTTTCGAGTCAAGGTAATTTTTTTTTAGATTGTCGGTCATAGAATTTAATTAAATTAAATTTATCAGTAGATAAAATAGTGAGAGAATAAGTAGACCACATTTTTTAAGAGCTACAAAAAATTAAAAAAATTTTTGCATTATACATTATGAAAATTAGTAATTTTTATTTTATTTCACAAAAAGTAAATTTCAAGAAAAATTAGAATATTAAAAAAAAATAATACGTTAAATATTTTCCATGATTGAAAGTATAGATTTAGACTCTGAGCAAATGATAATATTCAATAATAAAAATTTTATCTCTTTCTTTTTTCAATGAAATTTGTATTTAATATTTGACACAATATCGACAGATCTATCTTAAGAAATTAATTTGAATTAAAATCATAAATTCATGAATTTATAATTCATGGCAGTAAGAACTTTTAAGATTTCTATAAATTTAATATCATTTTTGGTTTCAGTTAATTAATATATTAATTTATAATTTTTTTAATGGATTATAATTTATTTAATAGTTCTCTGAAATTTAAAATACTATTATTAATTTAATAATTAAAAAATTAAACTACAATTTTCATTGTAAAAATTTTGAGTCAAATTGATTGAAAAAATTTAAAAAGCAATAATTTTTTATCATAAAAATTTGTTGATAATATTTTTATAAATAACCGCATAGTATTCACGTGAATATAATACTTAAAAACTGCATTTTAAAAATGTTATATAAAGTATAGCTTTTGCACTTTGCGTTTATAGTTTAGCACATGAAAAAGTTTAACAAAATGGATATAAATTTTTCTACCCAGCAAGTTTAATTTAAAGTAAAAATTCGCGAATTGAATCTCTTGAGAAGCAAAGTGGATAAAATTTCTTGAAACTTTTGAATGATATTGAAAGTTTAATTTTTATAAATTTTCGGTAAACTTTTTAACTAAATTATTAAGTGTGCTCTTGTAAGTCGGAAGCGGGTAAAAAATGAATACTAAAAAAATAAAATGAAATAATATTTAAGAATAAGTAAAAAAAAGAGTGAAGAAAAGGAAAGAAATGATGGATATGTCAAGTGAAAAAAAAGTTTTCATTCAATTGAATAGAGATCGTTGAGACTGGAGATTGAAAAAGTATTTTTATCGCAGTAGCAACTGGACTCTGTACTCTTTTTCTCCGTAAAAGTTAACATTTTCCGATGCTACCTTTCCAGATGAGATTGTAAAAGTGTTTTTATCGGAATAGCTGTCGGCTGGATTTTTTCACGGTTGATTAAGACTTTCAAAGAGGCTTTGGCTTTGAGAATAAATTTATTCAGACCCAAAGCTCCAAAGGACACGGTATATTAAATAAATAATAATAATAATAATAATAATTACGCATGAGGTTTTCGTAATAGTCAAAGTCGGCGTCGTAGATGATCCGATGGCCATCACGCTGATTGAATCTGCTGAGTCGGCAGGAGCGGAGGTGCTCAGAATAAACCGCGGATCGGCATTGGAAGCTCGTTTGCCGAAGACATTCGTCCAAACACTCGCTGAGACTCCTTCCAGTTATCTCTGAGTGGAACTCTCCGCTCAAACGCGAGTTCCTGTACCGCTGGAAGGCCGTGTCTGGACGTCTGCTGTCCGGGTAGTGTCCTGAGACGGAGTTGTCCGGGTACTCGGAGCCACGTGCTGTAGGAGAAGCTACTTTTTGTAAGCTGGCATTTGGTTGACATTTATCTGACAGTTTAAGTAAATTGCCGCCGAAACAATGGCGGGATAGTTTGTTATATAAACTTATTGGTCATTATCATTATTTATTATAATTTTAATTTTGGTCGAGATTTTTTCTTATATAAATTTTTATTCTTAATTTTAGACATATTTTTTAATCAAAATTAATTATTTAAAATTATTCTTTTAATTTTTTATAAATATTATTAATTTTAATTTTATTTTTTTTAATTATTTTACCAATAAAAAATTTTACTGTTTTTTAGCAGTTCAAAAAAGACTTCAAATAAAATAATAATAATTATATTTTTTAATTTAGTTAAAAAATGATATTAAAATTTTTTTAATTTTTATAAAAATTTGACTGAATATTTTAATAAAAAAAAAATTTTTTTAATTTTTATTAATATTTATGAACTATGAATTAAAATTTTTAAATTAAAACACGGATAAAAAATCAATAGAAAAAAAAACTTTAAAGATGTTTGTAATTTCCTGAGGAATAAATTGAAAAAACAACTCACGATTATCAAGACAGACAAGATCATAAAAATGATAAGAAGGGCTGTTACTGGTCCCAATATCGTCTTTCTGTGAGACAGAATCTTCTTCAGAAATAACACACTGGCGTGTTTGCTCATCAAACTCCACACTGCGACAAAAATATTTATCAGCCCGCAAACAGAGATTTTGACACTCTTCCAGCGTCAAGTTTGTGTATATGTCCACCTCGAAGGGCCCGCGAAGTCTCCTGTTTTCTTCCTTGATAAACACTGTCAGTCCGTCGCACCTTCTGTCCGCTAAAAAATTGATAAAACACTTATTTATAAAATTCCATTACAAAGTTTTCAATTGAATCTTTACCATTTAAACAAGTATTTTCCAAATAATCAGTATTGGGATCATCCTCTAAAAGTTCTGGATGTGTTCTTCTGGTGAAACGACTCATTAAACAATTTCTATTTACTGCATCGAATGTCGCCGAACGGCAGACAAAGTGGTACTCGTTTAAACAACTAAAAAATATTTTAATAAGAAAATTAATAATTTTTAATTAATTTTCTTTTAATTCAAATTTTTATTAATATATATTAAAATTTATTCATCTAAAAATTGATTTAATATCTATTATGATATATTTTATTTTTTAAATGCTTTTTTTTTGTCTCAATTAAATTTTTTTTTAATTTTTTATTAAACTTAAAATTAAAAAAAAATTTTTTTTTTTAATTCCACATTCAAAAATTCAACAAAAAATTTATAATTAAAATTTTTGCAAGCAAAAAAATTTACAAAAAAATTCTACATGCAGAAATTGGAAAAAAAAACTTTAAATTAAAATTTTTATTAACAAATTTTGCACAAAAAAAATTTATAATTAAAATTTTTACAAGCAAATTATGCATAAAAAAATTGCACAAGCAGAAATTGGAATAAAAACTTTAAATTAAAATTTTTATCAACAAATTTTGCACAAAAAAAATTTTAATTAAAGTTTTTGCAAGTAAATTATGTGCAAAAAAAATTTTATAAAAAAATCCACTTATAAAAATTAAGAAAAAGCTATAAATTACAATTTTTTCTAATGAATTTTTAGTAATAATTAATTTAAAAATTTTTCAGTATATTAAATTATTTTATGCAGGCTCTTTTTACAAAAAAAATTACCTTTCTTCACAGACTGTTCGATTAGCAGCAGGAACTTCTCTGACATCAGTCATAGGTAACTTTAATTTCTTCCTGGGGTGTCGCTCAAAAATGTACCGTCTGTTTGGACAGTCTCTTTCGATCCTATTAGCTAATTGCAAAATAAAAGAATTGAATTGAATTGGTAAAAAAGAAATAGAGTTGAGAATTGAGTGAAGTGGTGATAGCGCTATTAGTTACAAATGTTATAGAGTATTGATTATCGGTTTAATAGATGGGGAATACGAGGACTGCAGGAGCATTAATCGATTTACTCACACGTGAGACAGACTTCAGTAAAGTGGACGCTATTGGGTACGAGCATTAAATTGCCAATTCCCTCGGGCTGAGCTTGTTCTCTGGTCAAATAGCACGTGCTCTCTTCATACTCCGGCGTACCGCTGAACGAGGCGATTCTACTTCCAGGCTGGAAATCAAAGCTTGCACAGGCACGCGGCAAATTATTCCCTGCAGTCCTGTCACGTAAACACAGGTCCTGACATTTTTCCAAAACACGGAACGGCGGCGCCGAATCTCTCACCTTTTAAAAAAAAAACAACAAAACAAATCAATAAATTCTATTCGAATAAATAAAAGCTTCTGTGGAAAATTTTATTTTTTTTCCAAATAAATAATATTAAAAAATTAATAATCTTACCACTTCATCATCGAACCCTTGGAGCTGTTGATCCGGTAATCTTTCATACACTATCCTCCCAGCGTTGCCGTTACACGTGGTTTGGGCTGTAAAATAACACCAAAGGGTCAAAAAAGTTTTGTGATTTATCGCGGTAAGTGATTGTCCGAGAATAAGAATAATGCAAATATTCATGAGTTGGAAAACAAAAAGTTTATGGACAATGATCACGACCTTCGATGTTAAAAAGTCTCATTAGAGCTCTTGTTTTTATTCTAAACTCCCTGTCTGGTTGCCTTCTTTGTTATTGTAATTTTTTATTTAAATTAGTTTGCTCTTTTTTTTTTTTCAATTCTTGAATTTTTTACAAGATGTTATGTCTAAATTATTTTTACAGTTTTTTATTATATTTGACCGCAATTTCACTTTAACATACACAAAAAAAAATTTCTTTGTTCAAATAATTTATTTTTCTTTAAACTTTTCTTAATTTAAGTAAAATTTCGACGGTCTAATTAGCAATTGGTCTTTCTTATTTTTTAGAGGGTGATTTTTCAATATTTTGATGTAGCAATAGTCCAATTATTAATTATTTGAAATAATCCAAAAAAAATATTATACCTCTATTAGATATCAGTGATATTAAATTGATAATAAATTTTGAACTAATTGTTTTTTCGTACAAATGGAAGATTCTCTAAAATGGAGTTAGACAATTTGCTAATTAGAACGTCGATTTATCTCTTAAGCTTCTTAATTTCTCAATTTTTGAAAGACTTCGGAACAAAAAAGTCCGAATTTCATTTTTTATTGTCAACTTTTTGATACAAAAAAATAGAAATTTTTTTTTTATCTTCGTTCATTTGTTGCTTTTAAGTATACAGATTTCGCCGGGATTTTTTTTCAGATAAGCCAATCAGCTAATATCATTGAGGAAGTGAGCATCAATTTTTTTCGAGGCAGGTGTCTTCAAATAGCTATAACTTTAATTCTACTGAATGTTTTTAGTTCAAAATTTAACTGTATATTCTTGAAATATGTATAAATAAATGGTAAAAAATTTTAAGTTCTATCTTTTCATTGATCTTTACAAAAAAATCTCAAAAAATGCTCAAAAAAAAAAAATCAATTGCAAAAAATAAAATTGAAAAAAAATTTTAGTTGTGAAAATATTTTTAATTTAATAAAATTATTCAAAATAGTTTAATTATTTCAAATAAATTGAAAATTTTCATAATAAAAATTATTGTTTAAATAAAAAAAAATTTTTGGTAAAGGTAAAATTATTTTAAATAAAAAATCTTTTTTTGGAGCCAAGAAAAAAATTTTGAATCAAGAAATTAAAAAATTTTTTTTTGATAAGTAATAATTAGTTTTTTTTTTTTTTTTTAAAGGACATGTTTTTATTATTTTTGACAATATTAATGTTTACTTGAACAAATAAAAATAAACTTACCATTGGCAAGCATCTTGAGAATTGTCAGAACCGTAATAGCTTGAACCATACTGAACATGTTAAAGTTCCTTTTCATTTTGAGTTGAAGGCACGGTAAACACTGTCAAGTGGTCATACCACTTGGTTGCAGATACTGAGGAGAGGAAATAACAAAAATGAATTATTTAAATAATTATTTTCTTAACAATCGTTCAGAATTTTTGGGTCAGAAAAATAAATCGAGATACCATCATAATTAGGTGGATCATTTTGGAATTATTAATGTTTTATTAATGGTATTAAAAGAATAAATTTAAGATGATTGTATGTAAATTCCATGAGAATAATGACAAATGTTGAATAAAGTTAAATTTAATTTACAGACTTCTGAACAATGCCACGGTTTCGACAAAACTAATTTTAAATAAGGGGAATCGAGAAAATTGTGGAAGAATCGTCAGTCCTCAGTCGTACCGGTTAGGTATGTGAGGTGGGGTCTATTGTTATGAGTTGTATGAGCCCAGGAATTTCATGCGATCAATTTAGCGCTCAATTCAGGAATATTCAAGTCAAAAATATTCCTTTTTTTGTATTTTTATTTAATAACTGCGGAGTTTATTAACTTTATGAGCTGTATTTTGTTTTATTTTAGTTAATATAAATAATTTTTTACGGCTTCCTAGGTATTGAGCCAGCGCAATGGATAAAGCGGATGTTTGTTACAAATGATTTTTATCATTGTGTTGTTCCGGTTACTATTTTTAATTTCTGTCACGGGGAGGTTAAATTACTAGATATACAATTTTATTTTTGTTCTAAATTACGGTTATTAATATAAAGGGTTTTGTTTGGGACAATTTTTATTAAAATCGGATTATTGTAGACGATTTTTTTATTAAATAATTTGTATATTCCTTGTTTAAATAAATCTATGAATTTTCGGAAAGAAATATTATGAAAATAGTTGCATTAAAATTATGTAAATATTTTTTAATATTTACAAAAAAAAAGTCGGACTTAAATTTAATTTTTAATTAAAAAAAAATTTTTATTTTATGTGTATTATTTTTATACGGAAAAATAATTTAATAGTTTGATAATTATAATTTATAAAATTTTAAGCGATAAAATAAAAAAATTCACAGCTCAAAAATTGAATTTTTACACGCTCCAAATTAAAAAAAAATTTTTTTATTTATATTTATAGTGAAAAAGTTCAAAAATTAAATTTCTATTTTTGACAGATGCAAAAATTGTGAAAAAAAAATTTTTGTTATTTTATTTTTGATCAATAAAATTTTTTACAAATTTTAGACAATAATGAAAAATTTTTTATAAATATAATTGAAATATTAGACGAAAATTTTTGATTGTTTCTAAACCAAACAATCAATTAAATTCAACTACCGAAAAAAGTTTTTCAACATAAATCTAAATTTCAACTAAAGTTAATCACCGTCTCATCAATTTCCACCTCCCAATTAAATCCTTAAATTACACAACTCCGAAGCCAAGCGATACCTATCTAATAGCACGTTCCGGTAACCAGCAACAATTCCAAATCCAATCTAATCTAATCGAGGACCTTCAGTCCCCCAAAAATTAATAAAACATAATTTCAAACAATCCCGTCCTTGGGGAAAACAAAACTACTATTTAATGAAAATCCCATCATTGCACAACAATACAAAAAGGAAAAAACAGAAGCGTCAATAACAAACCCATGAAGAAGATATCAGAAGATAACCGGCGTTAATAAAATTTAGATACCATCTACAAGCTTCTATAACACCCATCAAGGCTTTTACTTCCATTGCGTAAAATTTATTACTATTATTATCATTATTTCTATAAAAAACTATAAAATAATTTTTTAATTTCAGTTTTATAAATTTATTAATAACAACTAATTATTAAAATGTTGCAGGAATTATTTGTTTTCGAGTTCTTAATTATATAGTTTTATAATTTGGAGTCATCATAAATTTAACCTTGCAGTTATATTTTTTTTTTTTAAACATTGAACAGAAATAATAAAAATTCATTAATGTTACTCCAAAAAATTTTTTATCTACAATAAACCCACAGAGATTTCAAAGTAATAAAAACTATAATTAATTTTTTCATAAATAAGAATTTTGAAATATAATTAATTAAATTAAAAATCAAGCGAATTTAAATTTATTTCATATAAAATAAAACAAAACTAGCAACCTTGCAGTCACTATACTATGTTACTGTCGTGACTTGTGAACTATAAATAAATAAAATTTTCAGTTATTAAATAATGACTTTTGTTAAATTGCACTGTACTTTTTTAACTATGGACATTTTTAAAGATATATGCTCATACCGATATTGCACTTATTAAGAGCTTTCATTTGAGTACCCACATGCATTTTTATATATTTTTCATATATACATATATATGATATATATATATATATATATATATATATATATATATATATA